GGGAGGGAGTGGGGTGTCTATTTTTCAGGCACTTGTGATAGGTTGGGCCAGGAGCATTGTGGGCCGATCTTATTAAGGAACTGATTAACAATGGGTGGTTCTTATTAATTTATTCAGGGTATTTCCATAGATGTATAATATCACCTTTAAAATCTCAGTTCACAATTGCTTCTAGAGTTGCTGTATGCAAGAGAAAACTATTTTCACTGAGCAGTGGCAATTTTTTCATGCTTTTGTTTTACACAGAAGATCTTAACCACCATGTGTACTGTGCAAACGCAGCAGAATTACTACAGCCATTTTGACCTTTACTAAAATCAAAGTAGCAAAAAGAGCCATTATGGAAACATTCAAACATTCTCCTGACATCAGACCACTATAATGCGCCTTTACAAACAGCACTTCTAAACCATTTTGTATTTCCATATCTGCAGGACAATGCCTTTAACCATTTCCTGGAAGGAAAAGCAATCTTTCTTTAATTTGCAGTAGAAGTATCTTGAAAAGATACTTACCCTCTCTCTCTTTATAGAGTGCTTGCTAGATGACAGCATGCCAAAGTGCTTTTGTGACTGTATTACATATACACCAGAGCATATCTGTGATTTGTGGCACTTCTGGATATATGCTAATGTGCATCTGTGCTGTTCTCAGATCAGGGCTCAAACTGGGTTGAGTTGAGCTGGATTGATGAACTGGGACTTTTTTTTTTTCCCAAGGTGGCCATCTGATTCCCCAGATAGTCACCTTCCATTTAAATAAATAATATATTATGGGCAAAAAAAGACAACCTTATAAGTATGAAACCAGTACAAGCAAATGCAGCAATGCCTGTAGCAGCAGGGAGAGTGGACCAAGAGCTCTAAGCAATATGACCTTGTGTATTCATTTCAAAAGGGTGTTTAATTCAGACACCTAGTGATAAAGTAAAGGCCAGCAGGGTTAAACTATTGCACTGCTGATCAAAGTATATGCAAAACAATCCCCCAAAGTGCCAGAGGAGAGGGAAGGAACCCAGGGGGGCATCTAAACCCAACCAAGATGATCTCACAGAACCCTAAAAGGCATCCAAGCCCTGCACCCAACCAGCCAGCTAGCACCCCTGTGCCCAGTGCAACAAGGTCTAAGCTTACTCTGAGGGGTCTAGGGCAAGGTGGCATCTTCCCTGGTTTGAACTGATGTTTCCACTACACTTTGATCACAGTTTCTTATACTTGGTTGGGAGTGTAGCTATAGCATTGGGGAGGGGAGGCAATTGTCCTGAAGAATATCTGCTTCCCCCAGTGGCAGAGCTCCACCTGCCAACTGCCCCCACCCCAGCAAAGCTCCAACCTGGACAAGGGTATGCTCCCTACACATGCAGAGAGGTGCTGCCTCAAGATTTTGCCCCATCTCTGTGAAAATCTCTCTATGCCCCTGTACTCAGTTCACATGTTCAAATCTTTCTTTGAAACCCTGGAAAGTAGAAATATGCACAATTTTAAAATAAAGCTGCTTTTAATGAAATCTTCCAGCATGATCATAGGACTCTGAGAGCTAAGATCCTATGCACATACTATAATAGAGAGCGGTGTCAGTATATACTATAATTTTCTGTTAATGTGAGAGGGCTACAAAGCCAGCAGAATGATGAGAGAAGGGTGTTTGTGGCTTGGGCTACGGCATCTGCCAGGGCTTGGACTAATAAGCAGCCCCCGTGCTCAGGCCAGCTAATAGGCTAGGCTGGCTGGAGGGGGCAAGGTTCCAGGGGAAAACAGACTTGCCTTCAGGCTGGAAGGATAGTGGAGCCTTGATCATGGAGAGGGCAGGATTGGAGGGAGAGAGCCCAAATGCCCAAATGAGGGAGTGAGTTTTGTTGCAATTTTTTCTTTTTGTTTCTGTGTGGTTTAGGCAGTGGGCCCATGGGATGAAGCTGAAAATAAAGGCTGTGTCTATTACCCCAAAGCAGGGGAAGAACTTTCAATTAAGACTTTGCTTTTTGTTTGTTACTGGACACCTGGAGAATCAGAAGTGACTGTGAGGGGAGATGGAGGTCACTTTGCACGTGCCCTAAAGTGTCTTATGGGTTTTCACCCCTTGAAGGTGACGCCTCAGACACTGAAAGAGAAAGAGGGGATTTAACCTGTTTTAGGTGCGGTAACCCAGAGGGCCAGAGCCCTGCTGTGCAGCTTAATTCCCAAGCTGCGCTGCTGCTAACAGAGAGCCAAGGCCAGACTGAGTAGGCCCAGAGTTGAAAAGAGCAGCTAGAGCAAATCAGGACCCAACTGAGAAGGTCTGGGCCAGAAGAAGTGTGAAAGGGGGAAGCCAAGTGGCCCAAATAAATCCTTCCCACCCCACTTCAAGGCTCTGGATGCTTCCCATTTGACCTGGCAGACGAGATAGAGAATGGCGGATCAGAGGAGCAAGAAGCAGGAGTGGGCAAGTTAGCCAGCTGCTGTAGCTGCTGTCACAGTACCTATGCCTTAAATCAGCCAACCTAAGGGTGTATCTGAAGGCCACTGACAGGAAACCAAGGCTAAAATGCAGAACCTGTATGAGTATTTCCTGAATACCAGCAAAATGGACTGCCAATGGCACCTCAGATAACACCCAGAATTCCTCAGGAGATCAAAAGTCATACTCTCTATTTTACAGACCAGAAAACTGAAGGGTGAAATGTGTTGGCCAGGGTGACCCAGCAAGCTAGTGACAGAGCCAGCACTGAAACACAGCTTTCTCAAGTGCTAATACAGTGCTCTCTCCACTAGACCACAGCAGAGGCTGGATAGAGATTGGAAGAGTATTACTATAACTTTTTATTTTCTAATTCAAGCCCTATCTTGGATATATCTTTTGGTTATACCTGTTACTATAGACAGGAACACAATTTTGGCACCAGTAGATACATGATAAAACATCTCAAGGCTTTATCAAAGCTAGGTGTAGCGGGTCCTGGCCTGGTCATGGTGGCCCCTCAACTCTTGCCCTCTACTCCAGCTCCTCAGGGAAATTTCTCTTCTTTCTCCCCTGCCATGCCTTGATCTAATTGTTCTTAGTGTGAAAGGGAAGCTGCCCCCCAGGGTCCCAGAGTGAACCTGGTTCAGTGCAACTTTGTCCCTGGGAGACTCGGTTGTGGCTCTCCCAGCCTTATTAGTGCCCTAGGGCACCAGTCACCTTATGAACTATTTGTGGCCTTTGATCCACGCACCAGCTTGTATAGATTGGAACCCTCTTGGCTTTAGCTTGCTGGTTACTCTTCTTGCAGACTGTCAGCTTAGGCCCACTTTCTCTGGCCTGGCTTTCGAGTCTCAGCCTGGTCTGGCCTTTGTTTGGGGGCCTTAGCCCTTCTCTCAGAAGGGCTTTCAGTCCTTGACCCTTTCAGTTTGGGCCTGCCCCAATCCTGCTGTTAGAACTCAGAATCTGGAGCATCTCCCAGGCACCAGTGTGTGACCTCCCATCCTCCCCTTGAACCACTACCTCATCCTCCAGTCAAACAAGCAAATCCCCCCCCAACAAAAAAACCCCGATGTCAGCCCAATGCTTTAAACATACAGGCTGCTGCAGAAGTCTCTTCACCAGTCCCCAGGCCTCCCTACTCTGGCCTGCAGATTCCCTCCCTGTGGGCGGGAACCCTGTGCGGGCAGGAGCTCTCCACACAGGGTTCAGGGCTGCACTACCCCTCTGCAAAAGCTTTATATCTCCAGAGCTCCTCCTCTGGTCTCCTGACTGGTGGCAGGTGTACTCTTCCAGCTTCATGGGCAGTTTACTGCACCCAGGCTGCAGTTGCTTCCTTGCTGCCTTCCCTCCTGCAGCTGACCTATCTTTAGCTGCTTGGGGTGCTTTCTGCTGCAGCCTCTCTCCAAGTAGCAGGAGCCCCTGGCTTGCTTTTTCACAAGGCATAAAAGATTTTTCCTTTCTAGTTTTGTTGTTTGCTTCAGTTCAGACCCATCCTCAATTCTGCAAATTAGGCCACAATATGTAGAGTTTTACAGCAGTGATATGACAAGAAACTGGGGTTAAGAGGAAATAGCTTACCATATCAGGCCAGAATTCTTAAATTCAGTCTTGTTAGTCCATATTTAGACCCTTAAATAAACAGATGATGGGCACCAGCAGCTCTCTTTCTTCACTGAGATATTTAGGCACTCAGCCTTCATGCAATTAGGTTAAAAATCTGGTCCTAGTCTTTATGTTGCAGTAGATAAGGGGCAGCTGAATTATACAAGTTACATTTTGGCTGTATTCTGAGTTAGTTCAGATTCTGCACTCACTGTTACTGTAGAGTTGGCATTCATTCTGATGTTTGGTGGGAATCTGAACACTGCTACTGCTTGGCCACTGACATTCTGCTGGAGGATATAATCCCCAATACTCTCTTCTATAACAGGGGAAGAGTTAAGGATCTTCACAAAATGACCACCTGGATGAACATCAGCAATTCTTAAGTTTCCAAGAGCACTAAAATGATAAAAGTCAAACCAAAGATTTAAAGGCACTTCACATGTGATGTATTCACATCTTTAATTATAAAAATCTGCCCACAGGTTTGCATAGTAATCACACCATATTCTGACTATTGACAGAAAATATTTTGCATTTTATAGAGCTCTCTTCCTTTCATAAACTTAGTTTAAAGTTTAAATATTAACAAATGAAATATTTAACAATATTAAAAAAGAGTAATTATATGACAGATTTATTCAGCTCTTATTGGTGTCAGAAATTTAAAAGTTCTTTGTGGGGGAGGAAAAATGTAATAAGGACCCCTATTGTTATTTGCTTTTGTTTTTCCTGGATGTATGTAGCCCAACATTTCAATGCTCAACAAAGGGATTTGGCTATTAAAATCAGTGGGAGCTGGGTAGTAAATCCCCTTCTTGGTTGGAAAATCTCAGTTATTGAGTTCAGTTATATATTCTTGCTTGCTTGCTCTCTTTCTCCTGATGCCCTTCATTTCTTCTTTCCTTCTGGAGGAAGGGGCATCTTTATTATTAACTAACTCCAAGAGACAACATGTTAAAACAATTAAAACCTACTCTCTCTTTTGTTTTGGAACTGTAGCAAACCAGGATATGTTATTTATCTGCAGTAAACCCAGGGTCTCCCTGAGGGAGCAGAGGAACACTGAATCTTGTGCAAGCCCTAGAAAACAAATTTATCTCTAGCCTGTTCCTCCTGAGCAACTCACCTGTCAAGGGAGCACTTTTAAAAACACAGCACTGTGCTGTAATGCTCATTGCAGGTTTTACTAGACAAATTGTGAATGGAGCCTGAGGAATCATTCAACTTTCCGTGTGACACCCACTGTGATTTAGTTAATTGTTTAGCCCTATTATGTCTTGGCTTTGTTGCCTGCCTGTGTAATGTTTTTTCTTTGCTCTGTTTGCCTTGCTGTGTTCACCAATAAGCCTAATTTGTGGACATCTGTGTTTGTACTCAAGTCTGGCCCTACAGTACAGACAGAGCCACTCCGCACACTTGGATCACTGCTGCTGCAGCCCTGGAAGACCCCCAGAGCCCAAAGTAAGGCTACTAGGGCTGACTAGGTGCTGGCCCCAGCCTCCCCTACCCAACCTGGAGCAATTTGGTGCTCATGCACAGGTGTACCCCAGGGACAAGTAGCAGTGACATAACTATGTACTGGTGCTATCTGTCCCCAGGGAAATGCATATGTGCACTCATGAAGACACACCCTAGGGGTATAAATGACAAAAGTTACATAGTCCAAAGTCTTCCTAAAAGCTCCCTTGCCTCCTACTGCCCAGATTCCACTGGTGACACAAAAATTCTGCTAGTAGTTCCTCTTATTCCTGCACAGGGAACCTGTTTCTAGAGGAAGCTTGGGTTTACATGAAGAAGAAAAAAGAGAAAAATTGTAGGAGTCTGAATCAGGTAGCAAACAAATATGAAGATGGGCAGAAGAATCAAGAGGGACAAATGAACTTCAGGGCTTGGAAATGGCTGGAGCTGCAAAATATACAGACGTATTGAACACAAGACCCCTCGGCACGCAAAGTATACTGTCTACCTGGAGCGAAGAT